GTACTTTAGTCTATTTTCTCACTGGTTAGTTCCTTCAAAAGCTTCAATTTCATTCAATTTGCCTTTAGTCCAGATCAGGCATGCAACCATCCCAAGCTAGGGCTCGCTGATCGGCAGCGAACATGCTCAGTAGCGAACCATTCGGTGACAAACCGATCAGCGATTCCTATTTTGGGATTGTTGCATGCCTAGTTATAAGCAAGTACGAAAACAAAATGCCCAAAAATATTTCAAAAATACCAATGTTTTCTTGTTCTAATTTGTTTGACTGCCGTCCTTTCTCAATTTCAGCAGCTTTAGTTTGAGATGAATTATCTTTATACAGCCTATTTTCAATGTATAGAAATATACAGCATGATTGCACTTCACACATAAAACGTTATAAAAAGAAAGTGGAACATTTTTTTATAAATATGTGTCAGTGATAACAGTCGATCAGTTGTTTTACCATCGATCATTCTACTCTGTTCTATTTCCTCTCCATCTGCTTGAATCAATATCTTTATCTTTCTGTTAGAAGGATCGGCGGGACCGTTTTTTTTCTCTTCTTTTTCATAATGTTTCATGTGTAAACTACAATAATGTTGTATATCTTTCTTTGTGAAAATGACACTCAGAAGAGTTTTAATTAAATAAATTTGAACTTAATCATGGCTACTGTTAATTTAAAAAAGATTATTCTAAAAAATAAAATAAACTAAATTATTATCCACACGAGCAAATAACGTGTTTGTCATTAGCCATAACTGCAGACACAGATCTACAGACGTGGGTGTGTATACACTTCTGGTATATTTATTTTGCTTGTCTTTCAAGTCGTGGAGAAAAATTTCATTATTTTTTCTTTCTAGCCGACAGTGGCCTTAAAAAGAAAGACGGTTAAAGAAAATAAACCACTTATAAGCTGGTATGCACCAAACCGATAGTTCGGTGACCGAACGGTTCGCAACCGAACATGTTCGGTCACCAAACAGTTTGTTACCGAACATGTTCGTTCACCGAACGGTTCGCTACTGATCCACTCTCTCTAAAGTAGGTTGAACCGTCCGATCCTTGGTTAAAGTTTTTGAGGCGGAGCTAGCTTAACGGAGTCGAAAACCGTGTCACTTAGCTTCAGCCACCCAATTCGAAATGACATTTGTTGCTATAACCCAAGAGTCTCTTGGTCAAATTTAATCGAGATATTCTAAAAAAGACTGCGTGTGCTGCACCAGTATTGTGGCAATTCGTTGAAATTCTAAAGTGTCATTGTTTAAACGACTGGTCAGATACACTGACCAATTCTATGCTTGTTCTCATTTTTCTCGTATACAAAAGCATGACCAGATTATACAAATGACTAGCAGAATCACTAATTCTCATAGGAAAACATGAAAAGAAATTCATATTTTGTCCTAATACTCAAGAACTATTTCATCGATAATTACGATCATCATAATGGAATCAACTTCTGAAGAGTTAACGTGTATACAGGCAACTAGGACACATTGACCACTTCTATGGTCTATGGTATACTCTCGTCTTTTATCAGCAACTCAACAAACCAAAATAATCTTACTTTGTCATGAGACGTTTCTTCATATGTTGTTGTATATTTTATTATCCATGTACAATAAAACATAAAATAGCTCCTAGCCATAATAATAATGAAAAACGGTTAAACATTTGTTTCCAAAATTGAAGCCATGGTGGAGTTGTTTTTGGTGATGATAATACATTTGGACCATCACGTACTAATATTTCAGCAGCTTTTGAATCAGTTAAACCCCTATCAGATAGAAAAACAAAACGTAAAACAACAAATAAAAGTTTGTTTTCTTTTCTATATAAATATACATGCTGTATCTAGATCTGTTTCAAGTCTTCGATAAAGTTCCTCTAATGATAATTTATGTTCATTCTAAATATGAAAGCAATAATGAATCTATTTATTGAAATTCCAAATTTGAAGGAAATAATGAATTAAGCATTCGGTATAATCAATGTTCTGAATAAGAAAAACTACTATCTGTATCAAAATATAATGGACTCCGATATTTCGCTTATAACTTTTTAACGGTAAATGCTACAGACTTGCGGTTTTCAGATTCTAAAAGTAGACACCGCGGCACGTAAGACCATGTGAAAATAAAAAATTTCAAAAAAAAGTTATTAATAACCCGGAAAAAGTTTAAAACCTCCAAATTTTTGGAGTTAAATTCTTTTTTTATTTTTCCTCCTAGACTACTACTCTCGAGTGTCCTCTTTCCGAATTCGAAAGAATTAGGTCTCTAGGACCTAGGGTTCTGGAGATACAGGATTTTTTCGGAGCCAGGTCTACACAGGAACCTTACGCTACACTATCGTTGAAAATAGCGAGGTATAGGTTTTTTTACATGCAGATTCTCGTGGCAACGTCCGTTTTCTACTACAGTTACATTTTTTAGCGCAAAACAATCTATTATTTTATCAAGGGTACATTAAGATGAACGTAAGAAAACCTCTGGCGAAATTTGAGCTACATCTTTCGTTTTTATTCGAAAAGAAAAAATTCGTTATAAAAAATAGTTAAATTTCCTCATTGTCTTCACTCAGTCCGTCATCTGTGGTTTCTCCTTCGCTGTCTTCTTCATCGATGCCAGGTTCAACATCAGTCTCTATCATTTCGTCCGCCCATTTGAACATTTCTTCATATTCTTTCACTTTCTCAAAATATCCACCTGCAACCTCTGGTCCTAAGGCTACACACCATTCCATTGTCAGATTTTCGACGTCGCGAATCCTAAACCGAGTATTCTTATCACGAACATAATCTTTGAGGCCTGCCCAAGCCAACTCTATCGGATTCAACTGGCAGTGGCGAACCGGCAGCTGAATGATTTCAACATTATACGTTGAAGCAACTTCATAAGACTAAAAAAAGGAACTCTTAGAAATTCATGTTTTTCTGTATGCAGGTCTGTTGCCTTACTTTGTACTTCTTAACCGGAGCGTTCGTTTCTATCAAATACAACAGCTCGAAATTTTTCATACTGGGCTCATATGCGACCTTGTGCTCTTCTAACCATTCCTGTAAAATCAGCTTTCGTGATCCTCTTTTAGGGACTTTCGTTTCTTCCGATTCTTTAAAATGCTACGGGGCATTATCGAGAATCAGACAAATTCGAGGTTTTTTGCCTTAATGAAAAATAAAATACTTAAATTCATAGAAAGTACTTTTCGCTTCACATACCATGAATAACGTGAAGTTCTGCACAAGTGAGTGAGAGCCAGTCAAGAAAATGCTGAGAGTCCATCGAATGATATTTGTCACACTTAAATATTTCAATAGACGGTTTATGAAAACCTTTGTCGTTTAGAATAGCATTGATCGCGAGTCGACTTCCTTAAAAAAAACATAGGTTTAACGGGAGTTTTTCTAATCTTCGACGCAAAAACCTCACCTTTTCCCAGACTGCTTCTTAAGCGACCTGCACCTTCATCGTCGGTCCAAACAAATCTCTTTTCCTCGTTCTGGTAGGTCCAGGACTCATCGTGAAAATAATGGATGACATTATTATCACGAATTTCCTGAATCTCACGGAAATATTTCGATCTGGCTGCCATATAAAATGTACTATCAAGAGGAGTTTTAATTT